CCATCACCGTCACCCTTGGTTACACGGCTACCCAGGCTCAGTACATGACCATTCCCATCTACGTACGTCTTCTGACCCTACTTTGCGGTGACCCAGCTGACATGTTTGCTCAGATTGTCGCCGCCGTCGTCCTCAACATCGTCGCCTGGAACTCGGACCGCATCCTCGAGCGCAGGTGGCACACGGCCACCATGCTGGGCGTGGGTTTCATCGCCGCCACTGTTTGCGCGACAGTCACACACTCCGTCGTCCGCTACACCATGATGTGCCTCATCGCAGCTGGAATTGTGAGTTCATCTCTTGTCTTCTTCACAATAACTTTTCCAGCTAACCTTCCCCAGTGGTCTTCCATCCCCCTCATCCTGTCGTGGACCAGCGCCACCATCAGCATGCCCGCCGAAAAGCGCGCCATCGTCCTCGCCCTCGTCAACGCTTTTGGCAACTTCTCCAGCGTCTACGGCAGCCGCATCTGGCCCAGCCACGACAGCCCGGCGTATCGTATGGGCTTTGGTGTCACTGCCGGCTTCCTTGGTGCTGGCATGATTCTCGCCATCCTCGTCCCGATCCTTTGCAAGGCCTTCAACTGGAAGGGAACAAAGGCGGAGAGGGACCTGCAGGCGAGCGCCGAGGAGGAGTCGGAGTAGGAGATATACATGGGATATGGAGAGTTGATATTCTGCCGGTGAAGATAGTTCGACATGGGAGAAGAGATGTCATTTACCACCCCTCGGCCTACCTAGGAAGGTGGATTTTCCTGCCTGAGATGTTTCAGATTAAAGTGAATATGGACTGGAACAAGTCTTCAAGTTCCTCCTGAAGGAAATATGTTGAAGAACCCTACATTCATACCAGCAAAAGACCAAGATTTGGGCTTTGTTGGGTGGCTTTCAAACTTGACTTGACAGTTGCTAAAGGTGCATCTCCTGCCAAATCTGCGAGGGCTTAGCGAGGGGCCTCAGGTTGGCAGCGTGTAGAATTTCCAGAGCTGGCATGATGCACCTTCCACTTCCCACTGCATCGGTTGAAACTGGCCACAGCGAGGTCCCGTGACCCGTGTCTCCCACACACATATACCTGGCCAGCCGGAAAACAGTCCCACCGTGGAATTTTATTGGCGTCCCTTCCTCCCGTCTTCCGTCACCCAGCGGGCCGGCCGCCTCTTCACCTTCGTCCGGCACACTTCTCATCATCCACCCAATTCATCGTCGCCATGTCTGACATCGCTTCCGATGACAAGGCTTCGGCCTCGATGTCAAGGGACTGTGCCATCATCGTCGATGGATCAGTGATCGCGTCCGGTGAAGCCCTCGCCGTTGAGGGCACCAAGATCAAGGCTCGTCTCGTTCTTTCGACCACACCTGGCCAGGCGCCTTGGATCGGCATCATCCTCAACATCCCTTTTGCGGATCCGCGCCAGACCGAGAATCATAAGTCCGGCTTTGGAGTTCGCTACTTCTGTATGTTATTCTTCTTCTAGCCTTACGTGCAACAACTTTTCGAAGAGCTGACCAAATCAAGACGACCAACAGACCGAGTCGCACAATCTGTCGACGCACCACAAGATCTGCATTCGACTTCCCCGTGGCGGATACACCCAGACGGTCACTGAAGTTGACAAGGCCACCCTCGCAAAGTTCCCAGATGCCGAAGACCTCACTGCCGTGACCATCGTTCTTCATGATGGTGCGGCTTCCTTCGTCACCGGATATGGCGTCCCTTACGCCAACGGCAAGGACTACGACCTCGAGGGCATCGTCAACCAGGACGAGCCCATCATTGATGGAATCACCTTGAAGGATCTTCTCGTCATGAACAACTTCTCTCTGGTTGTCGCAGCCAATACTTCAGCCATCAACAAGCTCAATGAACAGCACCTGCCTGCTCACTTCACCTACCCTTACGGTGACGACCACGCATACGACCTGAACAACTACCGAATGATCTTCTCTAGGACCAAGTCCAAGAAGCAGTTCCTTCCTGCCTTCGCCTTCGATGACCTTAACTCCTTCCTTGCCGTCAGCGCCCAGGCGGTCATCCAGGACTTCCTCTGGCTCCATGTCGAGGCCGAGAGAATGTCCAACACCCGCCTCCCTGCGTACTTCGTCGCACGCTCGCCGCAGACGACACCACCTGAGTTCTTCATCATACTCCCCAACATGCGTCAGTTCCGCAAGCAGCATGACGCTGCTTGGAGGAGGTTCACCCGCAAGGAGGGCTTCGAGATGCTTCTCTTTGGTCCCCAGAGCCGACGCGGACCTGTCCGATGGTGAGTTGACACAGCACACACTTGTGACAGAAAACATCTAACAAGATTTTGCGCAGGCCCGGTCGGCTTCTTCTGGATCCCGAAGAGTACCCCGAGCTGTCCAGCGATCTCCACCCCATCAAGAAGACCGACATGATCCTCCAAGTCAGGAAGCCCACCAAGGGCTCAAAGTTCGCCAAGATGTTCGAGCCCATCACGTTCAAGAACAGGCCCGCCGCGGAAAAGTCCAGCAAGGCCTAGAACACCGTTGCTTTCAACTTTTACGCTGGTGCTCCCGATGTCAAGAGGAAGGTCAATGCCCTGATGGCCTACGCCTGGGGTGCCGAGCCTTCGAAGCCGCCTTACTCGGGCTTCGACTTGACCAATACCCAGGCACGACGTCTCCATCGACACCTCATGTGCGGCCATGGCTTCTACGAGTGGCTCGCCATGGAGGACCCCCTGGCCGACAGCCGAAGTGCTGTCTCAGACGACGAAGACTCGGACGACCCTCAGACTCTTGTCAGAGCCATGGCTGCGACATCCATCGCACATGTTCCTCGTGACAAGCTTCCTGCCATCAACTACTTTGAGATTGATGATCAGCGCTACATTGACGCTCTCGTTGCCGAGGCTCTGCCCCAGGACCGCGAGCGCTTCCGAAGATACATGAGCGACAGGCCCCTGGGTCTCGGTATCGTCACGGGTGTAAGTCAAAATAATCTTATCCCAGACAGAGATGATCACTGACGCAAAAAGGCTGCTGGCTTTGGAAAAACCACCGTCATGGGCGTCGTCGCTCTGGCCATGGGAGCCCGTCTCGGCAAGATCTTTTGCTCCGGCCCTAGCAACGTCTCCGTTGACAACCTCGCCGCCCGAATCTACGAGGTGTCTTCCACCGTGACGGACCGCTACAATGCCGGTCCCAAGGGAGGCAACGCCCGCCGCAAGCTGGTCGTCCGCGGCTTCAAGACTGTGTTTGACATGGACGCCTTTCGACATCTGGTCCGATTCCCCGACGACATTGAGGGTGCTCGTCCCAAGGTCGACTGGGGAACAGAGCGCAGGTGGCAGCTCGACTACTCCGTGGCCTACTGGCTGCTTGCGCTCTTCCGATCCCCGGCTGTGCCCCCTCTCCACGAGGATGACGCCCAGATCCTGCACGACATGCGGGATGACATCGACAACAGGGAGGATCTAAAGTTCCTGCGCGCCTATGCCACTGGACAGATCACCAGAGAACAGTTCATCCAGTCCGGCCCCCCGTCTGAGGAGGTTCTTGAGGCCCTTTTCGACAGGCTGGTTCGCGAGGCTGATTTTGGATGCGCCACTCCGGCTCTGTCGGAGAACAACGACACGTGGAGGTTCTACAAGAAGGTGTGTGGCGGCGTCATCGTCGATGAAGCTGCAGCAATGCACCGCTCTGACCTTGCCTGCGCCTGGGGCAATGTCGCCACGCCCTGCTTCCTCGGCGGCGATCCGGTCCAGCTCCCGCCTACTGTCCTCACGCAGCACGAGAAGGATGTCGATGGCAACTACCTCAACCGACTGCCCGCTGACGGCAGCATCTCCGGTCTTGAGTATCTCCAAGCCATGGGCATTCCCGTCTACCGCTTGCGGGTGCAACTCCGCATGGCCAGGGGACTGTTCGATGCGGTGTCTCGCTTCATGTACCCAGATCTCGACGTCGAGTACAGAGCCTGCTGCGATATTGACGAGCCGCGGTTCCAATCGGGCCATGTTCTCGAGGACATGCTGCAGGAGAAGTTCCCCGAGCTCAAGCCTCCCCCTGAAGGTCACATGAGCCCCGTCTTCCTCCACTGTGATGGAGCGGAGGTTCTCAACGATGAAATGTCCGGATCCAAGAGAAGCCCGGATCAGGCCAAGATTGCTCTCGACCTGGCTGTCGAACTGGTCTGCAACGGCATCCCGGCAACCGATATTGTACTCCTCACGCCTTACACGGCCAACGTCAACGTCATCGCAAAGCTGCGCAAGAACCCCGAGTACGTCGAGGTTCTTGCCGGCATGGCCAAGTCGGACACAATCGATGGCTACCAGGGACAGTAAGTAAATCGCATCGCACAGCTTGACCTCACGGGTGCTGACAGATTTCCAGGGAGAAAGACATCACCATCATCGTGATGGGCACCAACAGCATTGTCGGCCCTGGCTTCACTTGCAACAAGCAGCGTCTCAATGTGCTGCTGACGAGGTCGAGGTGCGGACTTGTCCTTGTTGGAGACATCCACGTCACGGGCGATATGGGTTCGGCGGCTGAGAGCGACGACTCGGCTCCCATGCTGGTCGAGACGGCCACGGGCGAGATGGTCTTGACCAAGGCGGAGGAGCTGAAGGGTCTTCACAGGGCTCTCTGGGTTGAGGGCCGTGTCGTCACCGTCAACGTGAAGAAGTGAGGTTGGCAGGAAGTGGCCTGGCAGTTGTGAAGTGTGTCGACACGCCGGATGTGTCCGAGTCGTGGTAGGTAGCATGTTTCGCAGCCAGGCTGTTCACCCACGATGCATGGCCTTGATCAATTGAGCCGACCAAGGCAATCATCCCATCAAGACTTCCCAAGCTTCCTTCTTGATGTGGTTTACGATTGTAGCGTTTCGGAAGCTCCTGATTCTGGCACCTGCTGAGCGCTCAACATTGGCCCTGCGCCCCGAAGACCTGCGGGCAAACTTCAACCCCAATGGCAGGCGCAAAAAGAAAAATGAGACCCAGCTGAGCTGGGTGCGTCTGTACAAATACGCGACGAGGGCAGGATTTGAACCTACGCGGGCGAACCCAACAGATATCTGAAGGAGGTGTCCGTCTGACGACAGGGCATTTCGTTCTAGTCTGTCGCCTTAACCACTCGGCCACCTCGCCTGTGGTTATTGATGAAGATCTCCCAAGGTTGTGGGCCCTATGTAGCCCTAATTCATACCAACAGACATGATTGTGGACCGAGAGCGGGACGCTGCATGACTCGAGTCGTGATCGTTGTGGGTGGTCGTGGTGACGATGGGGGCGTGGGTCATTCAGGGGCCAGGGACATCACGGAACGGCTCTAGACCTTCGACACACTGCCCAACGTCACATTCAACTGATCCTCATCCAAGAAACTTTACATCCTCGCAGAAGTACACTGCGTAAATCCCTCATCGACACCGACGATCCCTGCGCACTGCGCCCCAAGCAGCAGCCGGCGCCGCCGATCCCATCAGATAAGATCATCTCTACCTCCCTTGCTCCCCCGGCCCCTACATTATCCTAACTCGCCTTGGCCTCCGCCGCGGCGATCTGCAGGGCCAGCGCCTGCGAAAACTGCCGACAGTACATGAAGCTGCCCGTCATGTACCAGAACCCGCGCACCCCCGTGGGCCGCCACCACCCCGCGCGCTCCTGCTCATCATCCAGCAGCCCGAATCGGGGCATCGCATCGGCCACGTCATCGCCCATGAGTCGACGCACCATCGTGATGTTGTGGCGGTACCCCGTCGCGAAGACCACCACGTCCGCCTCGGCGCGCCGTCCGTCGGCGAGCTCGATCCCGCCTGCGTCGAGGCGCGCCACGCCCCCATCGCACTGCAGCACCTTGATGCGCCCGTCGATGATCATGTCGTTGGCGCCTTGGTCGATGTAGTACCGCCCGCCCTCGATGAGCTGGTGGTCTGCCAGCCCGTACCCATCCTCTCCGGTGCGCAGCGCGAGGCCAGCGGCACGAAGGCCAGCGACCATGTCCTTGTCGAACTCGGCCAGCGCACGCGTCAGGCCGATGCTCATGGTGCGGATTACTGCCAGCGGCAGCGAGTTGCCCACCACATCGGCCTCCTCGGTTGTCAGACCTGGCATGCTCCAGAGTCCCAGCTGGATTGTCTCCCACGCCTCGGCGGACATCGAGAAGATGGGGTTGCGCTGCACCAGCGTCACTGACTTGGCGCCGTGTTCGACAAAGTCCTGGGCGACATCGTGTCCGCTCGTGCCAGGACCGATCACCACCACTCGCTTGCTGGTAACATCAGGCACGTCCCTTGCCGTGCGATGCTTGGCCGAGTGGTAGAGCAGGCCGGCGAAATTGTCCATACCCGGTATGTCAGGCATGATGGGCTCGTCGCTGAACACGCCTGTGGCCAGGACCACATGTCGGGGCGTAAGTGTCTGATGGCCTTCTGGCCCCTTGAGCTCGACAGTGAACCGGTCGGCCGCCTCATCTCGCTTGACGAACGTCACGCTAGTCTTCAGACGTAAGTTGAGGCCCATCAGCTGCGCATAGTGCTCCATGAAGTCGGCGACCTGATCGCGCGAGAGCCAGCGCGGCCAGTTCTCGGGGTACTTGAGGAACGGGTAGTGGTCGGTGAATGTTGGCGTGTTGAGCGTGCAGGACTCATACCGTGCCCTCCAAGAGTCGCCGATGCGCCCGTGTCGGTCGACGAGGAGGGTGCGGACGCCCATGCTGCCTAGCCGCGCAGCAAGAGACACACCGGCCTGGCCTGCAAAAGGTCAGCGGTGGTTGGTGAGTGGGAAGGGGTGGAAACTGACCTGCGCCGACGATGAGGACCTGCGGTTCATGAGCGACGCCATTGACGTGCGAAGCGCGAGCAGCCGCTGCATGGCTGCGATTTCTGACCGCTTCAATCTCCTTTTGCCGCGACAGCTCCTCCAGCTGCGTGAAAACGATCCAAGCCCGCCACTCGCCCTCGGAGACGTTTCCCAAGCGGACGAAGCCTGTGCCATTGCCGTGTTCGTTCTTGAAGGTGAATCCTGACTGGATCCAAACCATACCGCCCATGTCGAGGAGGATCGGCTTGAGCCCGCCAATCGACGCTTGCAGATTTGTGATGGACCTCCCCTCGAGGTACTTCCCAATGTCGTCCACGCCTCGCTTTGTAGTAAAGTCCCAGTCGAAGCCAAGAATGTCGCGCCACCAGCAGTTGTCGATGAATAGAGAGGCGAGGTCCTGGCGCGACTGGAACCACTTGTCCAGCTTCTCCAGCCACGCAACCACCACCTTTTCGGGGTTGATGTTTTCCTTCTTCACACCCGGAGCCAGCCCGAGGGCCGGCAGTTCAGGGAGCTTTGTGCCATCCATCTTGCGTGACACAACTTGGATTCCCGCAACCCCCAAGGGCGCGCCGTTGAACCTTTTGTACTCGATGATCGGCGTGGGGGACCGGCGGCGATCAGCGGCATGTCCCGCCTCGGCCGAGGCTCGGCGCTTGTCTGCAGGGCTGCAACACGGCAGCAGGCATAAATGTAGTATTGCGTTACTTAAGACTTGCAGTGAACCAGTGTTTGGACCCGATCCCCTTGTTCGTGAGCGTCTTCTCCACCTGCTGCCCCATAACCCGTAACCCTTCCGCCTTGCATGTCTTCCAGATGCCCACCAGCTCTCGCACTTGACCCGCCACTTCCTCGCCGGGATCGGATGCCTTCTCGAGGAAGTCGGCCACGAGCTCCAAACGGAGATACGTCTCCAGTGTTGGGTCTCTCGCGGACACAGCGTCTTCGATGGCTGCGAGAGCGACTGCCACATAGGCGAGGTCCTGGGTTTGAATGTAGCTCATGTCTTCTCGCAGGTGCTGGAAATCAATATGATACGGGACCCGGTGCCGGGCGAGCTGCTCGATGTGGACCGAAAGACCGCGGGCGAGGGTGTCCAAGGCTTCGGCAGAGGAGGGCTTCTGGGTGTCCGAGAATGGAATCGGGAGCACCTTGGTCTGTAGGCGGAACGTGTTGGGCAACACCGACGGCCTGTCGGAGGCATCTTGCAGCTCTTGAGCAACGTCGACGATGTCCTCAATGATGGGTACGCCCTTGTTATTCCACACGTCCAGATGCTTTCCGCCTTGCGTCCGCTTGCAACTGAGCGCGAAAACCAGGGAATCAAGGATATCAACCTCTCCAAGCCGCACCATAGACTCGGCAGCTTCGACAATGAAGCTTCGCAGATCCAAATCGCTGATGTGATGGCATGCCGGCTCATCAGTATGCAAGAAGACAGCGACGGCCTCGGACAAGCCAAGGTCGAGCACCCGCCTAGGAGAGTCGTCAAAGACACGAAGCCAGTGGAGGCCAGCGTTGGAGGCTGCGAGCTCGGTATCCGCTTTGACCAGTTTCGTGACTTGCGCGACGTCTGCCGGGGGGTTGAGGTTGGCCAGCGCGATGCTCTTCATTGTGTCCAAGAGCGACACAGGCACGAATTCGTAGAACTTTGCCAGGACGGATTCGAGAATGGCCGGGTGGACAGGGCTAGACGGGAGCGAGTCGACGACGAAGTTATTCTTCGCAAGGAATGCCTGCATCCAGAGTTTGTTGTTTTCCACAGACTGGACAAGTCCTTGGGTGATGATGCCTGTCAAGAATGCCTTGTCCTCAGTGCCTAGCTTGACCGAGCCAGCCCTCTCGATCAGTGTTGACAGCAGGGGCGACTCGTCCCCGACCTCTGGCACCTTCTCCCACTCGTCGTCGGCGACTGGGAAACGCTCGTTGACGCGCGCGAGAACAGGCACAACAGATGCCTCCAAGGCCACAAGGACGCGTTGGCGCAGCGACGGTGTGGTCGTTGGCTCTTCCAGGATGCCGATGAGGCTGCTAACGAGTGTGATCCGGGCGTCGATGTGGCGAGCCTCATCAAGAAGGGATATGAGTATGTTCGTGGTGGAGAGAGCGTCGAGATAGACGTTGCCTCGAAGAGTCTGGGCCACCATCTTTATCGTGGTCACCTTGACGTGTCGGGCGCTTGGGTCGGGCTTCATGTCGGGGCGCCATGGGCGGGCATTCTGCTCCCTCATGATATCTGTGATACCACTGGCGATGGAGTGAAGGAATTCTTTTGCGGCAGCGGCTGGGAGCGACGAGAGGAACTCGACTGTGAACAGCTGGCGGTGCCACGAGCTATTCTCGCCACCGTCGTTGGTGATTGCCTGGCAAATGAAGGGACAGGCGAGGGCAGGCTGGTCGCTTCGGGTGAGGCACATGGTGATGGAGACAGTGGCGTCCGTCATGGCTCGCAAGGATTCGGCGGAGAGCCTGGTCTTCATGGTCTGGAGCGAAAATGAGGCGAGCTCCGCCAGGTGGTTCGGGGTCATGTGGTGCAGTAATTGTCCGATCAAGGTGGCAATGCGTGGACCTGAAGGAAGAAGCTCGCGATGGGCGCTCGCAGACGTGGGATGCCGGTCGTCAAGATCGAAGAAGTTCGTGATTGTCGGTTTCCAAATGGTCTCGTTCCTCAACGGCTCGTCGTCAATGACCTTGGCGAACGCAGCGGCCCCGTCCACGCGCAGCTTCACCATGGTGCGTGTCACCAGCAACACGTTCGCCCAGTGGTAGATGTTGAAAGCTGGTTCGGAGGCGGCCGCCGCGACCACCTGGGCCAGCTCGATGGCGATGCGATTGGCGGCTGCGATCCCCTTGACGACGTAGTCGGAGGAGAGTCGGCTTGGGTGGTCATCTTCGCGGGGAACGCAGGACAGGAGGCGGTCCAGCTCATCGGTGAGAACACCAGTGCCGTGGCCGACGAACAGGCCACGAGATGTCTGAGAGTCTTTCGCAAACCGTCGGGCCCAGATGAGGGCTTCCTCCAAGAGGTCGAGATCGCCTGATGCGACGCACAGATTGAGGGCCGACTGTGCCCAGAAGGCACGCTTGAGCGGCTCGCGGGCCGTCACTGCCTGCTGCTTGCGCTTCTCGATGATGTCCCGGGTCCGTTGGAACCTGGGGTCATCAGCGGCCCAGAGGCGGCTCTGGAGCATGGCCCGCAGGACTTCGACATCCGCATGTCTCCCGTCGAGCTCACCCTTCTGTTGAAGGACGGTCCGCCTTGATCCCGGTACCCTGATGAAGCTGGACGTGGGGTCGACCTTGTCCAGGCGGTTCAGCAGCGCTAG